TGAGCCACAAAAACTAGAAAATACTTTAAAAGACATGGTCAGTTTCTTCACAAAAAGAGGATATTGTAGAAGAACGCTAGGATCAGCTTTGAAAAGAATAAGAGAGGTCAACAGGGAAACCCTCTTAGAAAGAAAACTAAGACCAGAACAAAGCCGCCTAATTTTCCCCATGCTATACTCCCCTGCTTTAGAAAGAGTCCTAAACTACTCTCTAAAAGAAATATGGGAGTGGGTTGTAGAAAATGCAAAAGGAACCCCATGGGAAAAGAAATTCACGGCTTCACATCCCATGATAGCTTGGAGAAAAGGAAAGACTATAGCTGACTATCTGGTCAGAGCAGAATTCCCAAGACCCCTCAAATAATTAATTAAAAAATATCAGCAATTAATAAAAGAGATAATAAGAAAGATACTAAAATACAAGGAAAGGAAGAAAAGAAACAGAATAGCAGGCAGAATAAAACATAAAATGATATTGGCGTTAAGTTAATGCATAAACTTGAAAGGATATGGCAAGATAAACAAAGATATTAGACCAAAGGTATATATATATGAATATTTATACATAACTCATGAATGAAGATACTCATAAAGAAAGAGATTTGAAACAAAAGAAAAAGAATCAGAGATAACAAAAGAAAAAGATACAAGAAATACCAAAAACCCTCCGCTTAAGCGACTTTTTCATAGAATAAGAACCAACAGGTCAATACTACAGATACAGATAAATCATACATATTTAAATACTTTGTATCCTAGCACTAAAAGAGAAAGGAAAAGAAAGAAACAGGGAAAAGAAAATAAAACTTAGAAAATTGAAAGAAAAAGTAAATAAAGGAAAATGGACCTTTCCTCATTACAGATTGTCTCCTTTCTTCTGAAATACAGGAAGAGACATGATAAATTTAAGTTCTAAGAGCACTAAAAGAAAAAAGAAAAGAAAGAAACAGGATAAAGAAAATAAAACTTAGAAAAATGGAAAGAAAAAGTAAATAAAGGAAAATGGACCTTTCCTCATCACATATTGTCTCCTTTCTTTTGAAATACAGGAGGAGACAGATTAAATTTAAGTTCCAAGAGATAAAAACAAGAGTATTTCCACAAATACTCTAAATACAATGGATACATTGAAAAAGGTTTTAAAATAAAAAAGACAGAATAAGTACCAAGAAAGAAAGAGCAGGAGAGGCTGAGTTGAGGTGACCGCCCAGGCAGAGGGCAGCAAAGGAACTGGGGAACATGGCCACCCTCACCCAGAGCGCAGAAATCCTATACAGTATTTTCAAAGATAATTATAGTTTCCAGGATTTTCTTTTTTTACTGGTTATATCTTCACTTTTACTTTCTAGAGATTTTGTTTTTACAATCTCTAAATATTAGAAAACCAGTTTTTAAGCTCTGTTAAGAGATTTACAGCCTTCACTCCTTACCGAGTTTCTACCGAAATAGTTCGCTGCTCATAACTTCGGCTACCCACAATACATTACTTAGGAAGATCTTTCAGATTTCCTTTATTCTTTTTCAGAGAGAGTCGTATTTTTCATCATAGATACTGACAAACAAAGCAAGGATAGACCGCCCAGTATTTACAAAAATAGGAAAAAAGGTCTAAGTATTTTGCAGTTTTTGTGAGTTACCCATGCCTTTTGGTTTTCTCTGGCTTCCTGGTAACTTCTCAGTTTTCTTTGATGGTAAGTAGTAAGTCCCAACCGAGTCTTCAGTCCTTTGAGATACCCCTCCCCTCCACCTTCTACTAAAACTTTATGATTTTTTAACTTTGGATTTCTTTCAGGATCCAGGCAGTTGAGACAGGATACTCCAAGTAAGGAACCTAACCCAACCATCCTGACCATTAGTAGCCCTTCAAAGGGTTCCTGCCAGGATCCATCTTTACGATTTTCTTATCTCAAGGAAGAGGAGATGAGACTTCTACTTTGCGTTTATTTGCATGTTGCATAGTCACCACACACCGGCGAGAGGAAGCTTCAAGGAGGCAGGCAAGATACAGGAAGTGGGAGCCCTTCCCCAGGTGCCCCCCACCCCCTCCCCCCGCCCCGCCATGACCGGAAGGACCTCGGAAGTCGGACTCCGTTACCGTGTGACTCCTTTGGAGTCTTTGTTCACTTGTATATATTGTACCTTTTTGAATAAAGACTTCAGTTAACCTCTTACACAGCACCTGATGAAGCCTCTGGCTGAAAGCGCTAGTGCTTTGAGTTAACTGTTAATTTTAAGGATTACATGGTTGTTTCTCTCCTCCATTCCTTAGATTAACTCTTTCTGTTGTCTTTGCCCGCCCAGCAAGACATCAGTTTACCATACAAAAGCTCTGAGTTTGCAAATGATCAGTCCTTGTAAGGATTACTTTTTACGAATTTGATACTAGTCTTTGCCCGCCCAGCAAGACCTATATTTAACAAACAAAAAGCCATGCATACCTGTCTTTGCCTGACCAGCAAGACTGTCTATTCCTGATTCTGTATAGAGTCTTTGCCCGCCCAGCAAAACTCTTATTTACCATGCATACCTGCCCTTGCCTGACCAGCAAGATTGTTGTTAATCTAGTCTTTGCCCGCCCAGCAAGACAGGTTACCTAGTGTTGCACATGCTCAGTCCTAGTAGGGACTTGTTTATACATGCACAGATACCTATGATCTCTTGTCTTTGCCCGCCCAGCAAGACAGTTGCACATGAACAGTCCTTTTAAGGATTCTCTGAAACAAAGCTGAATATTTGCACACTAGTTGTTTGGTAATTTATACAGTATCTTATCTGATCTTTCCCCTTTTTTATTCTTTCAGGTGCCATTAGACTTCTGCTGAAGGATCCTGTAGAGGGTCAATCAGTCCTCGGAGATTTTCCTCTGGCCTCAGGTGGACTGCATTCACACCCCTCTGGAAAACCAGCATTTGTTATTTCTTTGGCACAGATATTTTTAACTGTACATGTAACAGAGCTTGTAATATGTTTTGGTAAAGGAATAAAGAGAGAAACAAGGTGACATATGCAATTTTAATCTGAAAAAGAAAGACTTGAAACAGAAAAGAAACTAAAAGATATTTACAGAAAGATGCCTATGACACGAGCAAACACTAAAGTAATGAGGAACAGTAAAGGACCAGTAGAGGAGGGTATTATAGATGAAATGGTGTCAACCCTGGGAAGTAGCTTGGAGTCTGTCTTCCAACAAGCAATAGGAGATACAGTTTCAAATGAGCAGTTTTTGAACAACCCCTTAGCCTTAAGAGGAGGCTGGAATCACCCGCTGGCTTGGGCAAACACAAGCCCAGCAGTCCAAGCATCCCCTTTGGCACCCCTATTACTAGGGGGAGAAGTACAGCTAGGCTTCCCAAATGACCCATTCAAAGATGAAATTCATAATTTACAGGACCACCCTCCCATATCTACACAGGGTGAACAAACAGAAGTAAAAAACATGGCAAATTTATACAAAGAGGAAACAGTACAGCAAGCCATAGTAAAATACCTAGATAGATGTGAGTTAAATGGAGTAACGGATAGATTTGAGCTTATGTTACAAAACATAGATAGTAGAATGAGAGACCTACCCCCCATGTGGGTAATTGAGATGGGAGAGTTGATCTTGCAAGGAGCAGCAAGAAGATGGCAAGGCCTAATGGCAGCGGCAATTAGAGCAAGCACTGTAGAAGTGAGGAGGAAAATAATAGAAGAAAAAAATAGACTGAAAAGTAAATACCCTCACTCCTACAGAAGAATTTGCCATGATGCTTACACCAGAGCCAAGCTTGCAGCCAAAAAGATTGACAAGTTGCAACCCCCCAGAAGTAAATTCTATCTATTACAAGAAGGGACTCCTCTCATACAATACATGAATGAAAGAACTAATATGGAAATGACAAGGGAAGAAAGAGACATGGTTCAGAAATGCATGAGAGACATAGGCATAAGCTCTCACCCAGAGGATCCCGAACCCCTTGAAGATGAACAGACAGAAACAGAAAAAGAAAACAGAGAACCTGACCAGACAATCAGGGAACAAGAAAATGAAAAAGAACAAAGAGAACATGAAAAAGAAACAGAACAAATAGAACAAGTTAAAGAAACAGAACAAAATCAGACAGGAATTGAGCCTGAGAATGAGAAAGAACCAAAGCAATGGAATTTTCCTCCTACCTCCACCCCTCAGTAATGAAACAGAGGAAACACCTCAAGCAGAAAATGAAGGCTCGGAGGAAAGAGACAACCACATTGACCTACCCCCTAGGGGTGAGGACAATACACAGATCTCCCTCCCAATGAACAACACCATAAGGAGCCCAGGCACACTAGAATTATTCCTACCATCTCCACCTTCCCCCCCTTGTCCTTCAGGACTCATAGAAAGGGAAGAAGCTTGTAACAAGCTACTAGAAAAAGTAGTAGGGGCAATAGGCCAGCTGGAAAAGGTCATTGCTAATCTCAATGATAAAATTACAGAAAAAGATACAAGCAAAAATGAACACAAAGATATAGAAGAAAAAACAGAGCAAGAAGCCGAACAAAACAGAGAGAAAGAGGCACCACAAACAAAGAATGATAAGACAAACCCTGAGACATGGATGTCTCTGAAAAGATATGCTAAGAGGAAAACAGAGGAGGAAAAGAGGAAAAATAAGAAACAACCAAAAAACGGACAGAAACAGAAAAAAACAAAAAATGCAATACCACAGAACACCAAAAGTGCCAAAACAGGTGGACCACCTGCCCAGAAAGAGCAAAGAAATGCCAGGCAGCAACCAACCACACGAGCACCCACCCACATGGGAAAAACCCACCTAACCCCTTACCCAAGGGAACAGAGAAAACCCCAAGCCCCATACCAGAGAAGGTGGCAATCTCACAACCCAAACCAGCCCACAGAACTGGAGAGAAGCTCCACAAGAGCAAGAAAAGAGGCAAAACAGAGTCCGCTACCACAACAATTACCACCATCAAAGGTATCAGAACCAGAACCCACACTGGATAAGCCACCCTCAACCATGGAGGCCACCTCCCAGACATGGAAGATTTCCTCAAAGAGGAAATTACCAGTGGGCCCAAGGGCAAGTAGGAGGAAGGCAGTGGCAAGAAGGAGGGTACGGCAGATGGGGATGGAACTAATAGTATCTGAGGTACCCATGACCAGAACCCAACTCTCTGTCCTCAGCAAAGGAAGGTCTTTTGTACCAGGTCCTCCTCCAAAGAAAGCCCTTTTGGAGAACCTAGGAAGCTCAATGAATAGATTGAAAGAGCATATAAACAAAAGATTTGCTGATTCCCTCTTACCAGGCCAAGGAATTGAAGAAACACATAACAAAAAGAGGAGATTTATGCCCAAACAACTCCCGATGAAACAGAGAGTGAGCATTCCTACTAAAAAACTCCCTGGCTTAGAAACAATGGTACATTGTGAAACCATGGAAGTAGGAGAAAAGATCTTAAAAGGCAGCCTCCCAAACATGAGCAAACAAGAAAGAGAGGCCCTTAAAGATCTAGCTCAAAACCCAGACTTAGTCATTAAGAAAGCAGACAAGGATGGGGCCTTAGTGGTTCTGAAAAAAGAAAGCTACATAGCAATGGGTGAAGCACATTTATCAGATATTGAAACATACATCCCTTTAAATAATCCAGATGAAGCCCTAAAAACCATAAAAAGACAAAGCAAGATCCTAGTAAACCGCTTTTATACCTTAGATAACTCAGGAAAAGATGGAGGAAACAGAAGGAGTTTCATTGGCTGGTCAAAGAGATGCACTACTGGAGCATGAGCCAATAATCCCACATTGGTATGTGTTACCCAAAACCCATAAGAAAAAAGACCCAGACACAGGTTTATGGCCAGGGAGACCAGTGCTCAGTGGATGTAATGCCCCAACCAGACCAGTAGATAGGTTGCTTACCACATATCTCACTCCTCTGTTGGACCTCCTTCCAGAGAGATTGCAAGATACCACAGCCTTTCTGAAGAAAATAGCCACATTACCAAGGTTCCCTTCAGGCTCATTTATCTTCTCTTTTGATATAGTATCACTTATACCCCTCCATCCCACAGGAGGAAGCATCCTGGATTGTGGCAAATTTCTATGAAAAGAATTTTGCATATGTCAAGGAGAGACTAAAAGCAGACTATAATATCTTAGCACCACCTCCATACTTAATAAAAGATGGTATAGATCATGTCTTACAAGGCACACTACTGAGATTCAATAATCAATTCTATAACCAAGGCAAAGGAACAGCCATCGGAGCCTCAGTCTCAGTAGCCATAGCAGAAATCTTTGTACATGCCAGTATAGAAGAGAGAAGACAGAAATTGGCAAAACAACCAGCAGTTTTCTATAGATATATTGATGATATCTTTGGAATCTTCACTGGCACAGAGGCACAGCTCTTGGAGTACCACCAAGGGCTCAATAAGATACATCCAGATTTAAAATTCACAGTAGAATACAGCAAAAAGGAATTGCCTTTCCTAGACACTTTGGTGTATCTGGATGCAGAAGGAAAAGTGCAAACCTCGGTGTACCATAAACCATCAAACACACACCAGTATCTGCACTTCCAATCATGCCATCCACCAAGCCTCAAAAGATCCTTACCTTACTCACAGGCACTGAGAATCAAGAGAATAGTAAGTGAGCCACAAAAACTAGAAAATACTTTAAAAGACATGGTCAGTTTCTTCACAAAAAGAGGATATTGTAGAAGAACGCTAGGATCAGCTTTGAAAAGAATAAGAGAGGTCAACAGGGAAACCCTCTTAGAAAGAAAACTAAGACCAGAACAAAGCCGCCTAATTTTCCCCATGCTATACTCCCCTGCTTTAGAAAGAGTCCTAAACTACTCTCTAAAAGAAATATGGGAGTGGGTTGTAGAAAATGCAAAAGGAACCCCATGGGAAAAGAAATTCACGGCTTCACATCCCATGATAGCTTGGAGAAAAGGAAAGACTATAGCTGACTATCTGGTCAGAGCAGAATTCCCAAGACCCCTCAAATAATTAATTAAAAAATATCAGCAATTAATAAAAGAGATAATAAGAAAGATACTAAAATACAAGGAAAGGAAGAAAAGAAACAGAATAGCAGGCAGAATAAAACATAAAATGATATTGGCGTTAAGTTAATGCATAAACTTGAAAGGATATGGCAAGATAAACAAAGATATTAGAACAAAGGTATATATATATGAATATTTATACATAACTCATGAATGAAGATACTCATAAAGAAAGAGATTTGAAACAAAAGAAAAAGAATCAGAGATAACAAAAGAAAAAGATACAAGAAATACCAAAAACCCTCCGCTTAAGCGACTTTTTCATAGAATAAGAACCAACAGGTCAATACTACAGATACAGATAAATCATACATATTTAAATACTTTGTATCCTAGCACTAAAAGAGAAAGGAAAAGAAAGAAACAGGGAAAAGAAAATAAAACTTAGAAAATTGAAAGAAAAAGTAAATAAAGGAAAATGGACCTTTCCTCATTACAGATTGTCTCCTTTCTTCTGAAATACAGGAAGAGACATGATAAATTTAAGTTCTAAGAGCACTAAAAGAAAAAAGAAAAGAAAGAAACAGGATAAAGAAATAAAACTTAGAAAAATGGAAAGAAAAAGTAAATAAAGGAAAATGGACCTTTCCTCATCACATATTGTCTCCTTTCTTTTGAAATACAGGAGGAGACAGATTAAATTTAAGTTCCAAGAGATAAAAACAAGAGTATTTCCACAAATACTCTAAATACAATGGATACATTGAAAAAGGTTTTAAAATAAAAAAGACAGAATAAGTACCAAGAAAGAAAGAGCAGGAGAGGCTGAGTTGAGGTGACCGCCCAGGCAGAGGGCAGCAAAGGAACTGGGGAACATGGCCACCCTCACCCAGAGCGCAGAAATCCTATACAGTATTTTCAAAGATAATTATAGTTTCCAGGATTTTCTTTTTTTACTGGTTATATCTTCACTTTTACTTTCTAGAGATTTTGTTTTTACAATCTCTAAATATTAGAAAACCAGTTTTTAAGCTCTGCTAAGAGATTTACAGCCTTCACTCCTTACCGAGTTTCTACCGAAATAGTTCGCTGCTCATAACTTCGGCTACCCACAATACATTACTTAGGAAGATCTTTCAGATTTCCTTTATTCTTTTTCAGAGAGAGTCTTATTTTTCATCATAGATACTGACAAACAAAGCAAGGATAGACCGCCCAGTATTTACAAAAATAGGAAAAAAGGTCTAAGTATTTTGCAGTTTTTGTGAGTTACCCCTGCCTTTTGGTTTTCTCTGGCATTCCTGGTAACTTCTCAGTTTTCTTTGATGGTAAGTAGTAAGTCCCAACCGAGTCTTCAGTCCTTTGAGATACCCCTCCCCTCCACCTTCTACTAAAACTTTATGATTTTTTAACTTTGGATTTCTTTCAGGATCCAGGCAGTTGAGACAGGATACTCCAAGTAAGGAACCTAACCCAACCATCCTGACCATTAGTAGCCCTTCAAAGGGTTCCTGCCAGGATCCATCTTTACGATTTTCTTATCTCAAGGAAGAGGAGATGAGACTTCTACTTTGCGTTTATTTGCATGTTGCATAGTCACCACACACCGGCGAGAGGAAGCTTCAAGGAGGCAGGCAAGATACAGGAAGTGGGAGCCCTTCCCCAGGTGCCCCCCACCCCCTCCCCCCGCCCCGCCATGACCGGAAGGACCTCGGAAGTCGGACACCGTTACCGTGTGACTCCTTTGGAGTCTTTGTTCACTTGTATATATTGTACCTTTTTGAATAAAGACTTCAGTTAACCTCTTACACAGCACCTGATGAAGCCTCTGGCTGAAAGCGCTAGTGCTTTGAGTTAACTGTTAATTTTAAGGATTACATGGTTGTTTCTCTCCTCCATTCCTTAGATTAACTCTTTCTGTTGTCTTTGCCCGCCCAGCAAGACATCAGTTTACCATACAAAAGCTCTGAGTTTGCAAATGATCAGTCCTTGTAAGGATTACTTTTTACGAATTTGATACTAGTCTTTGCCCGCCCAGCAAGACCTATATTTAACAAACAAAAAGCCATTGCATACCTGTCTTTGCCTGACCAGCAAGACTGTCTATTCCTGATTCTGTATAGAGTCTTTGCCCGCCCAGCAAAACTCTTATTTACCATGCATACCTGCCCTTGCCTGACCAGCAAGATTGTTGTTAATCTAGTCTTTGCCCGCCCAGCAAGACAGGTTACCTAGTGTTGCACATGCTCAGTCCTAGTAGGGACTTGTTTATACATGCACAGATACCTATGATCTCTTGTCTTTGCCCGCCCAGCAAGACAGTTGCACATGAACAGTCCTTTTAAGGATTCTCTGAAACAAAGCTGAATATTTGCACACTAGTTGTTTGGTAATTTATACAGTATCTTATCTGATCTTTCCCCTTTTTTATTCTTTCAGGTGCCATTAGACTTCTGCTGAAGGATCCTGTAGAAGGGTCAATCAGTCCTCGGAGATTTTCCTCTGGCCTCAGGTGGACTGCATTCACACCCCTCTGGAAAACCAGCATTTGTTATTTCTTTGGCACAGATATTTTTAACTGTACATGTAACAGAGCTTGTAATATGTTTTGGTAAAGGAATAAAGAGAGAAACAAGGTGACATATGCAATTTTAATCTGAAAAAGAAAGACTTGAAACAGAAAAGAAACTAAAAGATATTTACAGAAAGATGCCTATGACACGAGCAAACACTAAAGTAATGAGGAACAGTAAAGGACCAGTAGAGGAGGGTATTATAGATGAAATGGTGTCAACCCTGGGAAGTAGCTTGGAGTCTGTCTTCCAACAAGCAATAGGAGATACAGTTTCAAATGAGCAGTTTTTGAACAACCCCTTAGCCTTAAGAGGAGGCTGGAATCACCCGCTGGCTTGGGCAAACACAAGCCCAGCAGTCCAAGCATCCCCTTTGGCACCCCTATTACTAGGGGGAGAAGTACAGCTAGGCTTCCCAAATGACCCATTCAAAGATGAAATTCATAATTTACAGGACCACCCTCCCATATCTACACAGGGTGAACAAACAGAAGTAAAAAACATGGCAAATTTATACAAAGAGGAAACAGTACAGCAAGCCATAGTAAAATACCTAGATAGATGTGAGTTAAATGGAGTAACGGATAGATTTGAGCTTATGTTACAAAACATAGATAGTAGAATGAGAGACCTACCCCCCATGTGGGTAATTGAGATGGGAGAGTTGATCTTGCAAGGAGCAGCAAGAAGATGGCAAGGCCTAATGGCAGCGGCAATTAGAGCAAGCACTGTAGAAGTGAGGAGGAAAATAATAGAAGAAAAAAATAGACTGAAAAGTAAATACCCTCACTCCTACAGAAGAATTTGCCATGATGCTTACACCAGAGCCAAGCTTGCAGCCAAAAAGATTGACAAGTTGCAACCCCCCAGAAGTAAATTCTATCTATTACAAGAAGGGACTCCTCTCATACAATACATGAATGAAAGAACTAATATGGAAATGACAAGGGAAGAAAGAGACATGGTTCTGAAATGCATGAGAGACATAGGCATAAGCTCTCACCCAGAGGATCCCGAACCCCTTGAAGATGAACAGACAGAAACAGAAAAAGAAAACAGAGAACCTGACCAGACAATCAGGGAACAAGAAAATGAAAAAGAACAAAGAGAACATGAAAAAGAAACAGAACAAATAGAACAAGTTAAAGAAACAGAACAAAATCAGACAGGAATTGAGCCTGAGAATGAGAAAGAACCAAGCAATGGAATTTTCCTCCTACCTCCACCCCTCAGTAATGAAACAGAGGAAACACCTCAAGCAGAAAATGAAGGCTCGGAGGAAAGAGACAACCACATTGACCTACCCCCTAGGGGTGAGGACAATACACAGATCTCCCTCCCAATGAACAACACCATAAGGAGCCCAGGCACACTAGAATTATTCCTACCATCTCCACCTTCCCCCCCTTGTCCTTCAGGACTCATAGAAAGGGAAGAAGCTTGTAACAAGCTACTAGAAAAAGTAGTAGGGGCAATAGGCCAGCTGGAAAAGGTCATTGCTAATCTCAATGATAAAATTACAGAAAAAGATACAAGCAAAAATGAACACAAAGATATAGAAGAAAAAACAGAGCAAGAAGCCGAACAAAACAGAGAGAAAGAGGCACCACAAACAAAGAATGATAAGACAAACCCTGAGACATGGATGTCTCTGAAAAGATATGCTAAGAGGAAAACAGAGGAGGAAAAGAGGAAAAATAAGAAACAACCAAAAAACGGACAGAAACAGAAAAAAACAAAAAATGCAATACCACAGAACACCAAAAGTGCCAAAACAGGTGGACCACCTGCCCAGAAAGAGCAGAGAAATGCCAGGCAGCAACCAACCACACGAGCACCCACCCACATGGGAAAAACCCACCTAACCCCTTACCCAAGGGAACAGAGAAAACCCCAAGCCCCATACCAGAGAAGGTGGCAATTCACAACCCAAACCGCCCACAGAACTGGAGAGAAGCTCCACAAGAGCAAGAAAAGAGGCAAAACAGAGTCCGCTACCACAACAATTACCACCTATCAAAGGTATCAGAACCAGAACCCACACTGGATAAGCCACCCTCAACCATGGAGGCCACCTCCCAGACATGGAAGATTTCCTCAAAGAGGAAATTACCAGTGGGCCCAAGGGCAAGTAGGAGGAAGGCAGTGGCAAGAAGGAGGGTACGGCAGATGGGGATGGAACTAATAGTATCTGAGGTACCCATGACCAGAACCCAACTCTCTGTCCTCAGCAAAGGAAGGTCTTTTGTACCAGGTCCTCCTCCAAAGAAAGCCCTTTTGGAGAACCTAGGAAGCTCAATGAATAGATTGAAAGAGCATATAAACAAAAGATTTGCTGATTCCCTCTTACCAGGCCAAGGAATTGAAGAAACACATAACAAAAAGAGGAAATTTATGCCCAAACAACTCCCGATGAAACAGAGAGTGA